ATTGGCTATTTTCTGGAGCCGCTCATTGTGTTGTGTTTGTTTGCCAAACAGCCTCTCACCATTAGGCTCAAAGGTATAGTGATTATTATGGTTTGATTCTTCTACGAAATATACCTCAGAAGGACCATTTAGAAGATATTTGGATTATTTAGATTTTTAACTGTTTGTAATTCTGTTTACCAGGAATTACAAATGATTCTAAGGATCCATCGGTTGATACCTTCAAGTCTACTGCTTTACCCTTATTGAAACGCTTTGGAGTTCCATCTGAAGGTTTGGAGCTCAAAGTAGAGAGTCGTGGATTACCTCCCAATGGTGGCGGCGAAGTTCTTTTGTCCGTTCCTGTTGTTCAGAGTCTAACTGTTAAGCTTCGATCTCTTCTGATGATTTAGGGATAATTTAGACGAACTACTTCATAATCACTTATTGAAGTGAAAAATAAGAAGGAAAAAAAAAAAGAGTTTTTCTTAGTAGTTAAAATTAACTTCTGTACTTTAAGTTGGTTATACGAGATCTTCTATTAATTATTAGTTAAATTTAGTATATGGAGAAATCATTTTCAATTTGTTTTTCTCTTTTAAAAGTGTTAATGGAGAAGTTCGTCCAAACAAGTCTTCAGTCTTTTATTTGAATTTGTTTGTTATCTTATTTGTACTTCCTGGCAGGCTGTTAGTTGGATTGATGAGGGTTTTGTGAAGAAAATTAGAGGAATTACCTTTTCAACGAGAGTATCTGTTCAATTTGAAAATAGCATGATTAAAGCTACCCGTGGAATCATCAATCCGCTGGTTTCTGATGTGCACATTTTTTCTGATCACAGATCAGGTCCACAGGCTGGAAAGTATGATTCCTCTCATTCAGTGGAATTTGTGGAATATTGAATCAGTTTTGAAATAAATTTGGTACAAATAGAGATAGTCCAACTATTGAAATGTAACTCCTTTTATTTGTCATATGCTGGTGCAGCTCTCCTGGTTATGGGATTTCGCTGGTTGCGGAAACTACTTCTGGTTGCTTTATCTCTGCTGACACTGCTGTTTCTCATTCAAGAGATGAAGATGCTTCTAGCCTTGCAGATGACGCAAAAAGAGACCTGATGCCTCCAGAGGATGTTGGTGTGGGGACTGCCAATGCTTTACTGGGTGAGATAGCTCAAAGTGGAGTGGTAGATTCAACACATCAGGTTAGTATTTTAGCAGTTTTCTCTGCTTCTCTTAATGTCACTACATTGATAGATAATGGGATAAAGCACATAGAAATATGGACAGAAACTTCTTTCAGAAGTGAAAAACTATGATTCTAGTCGATTGATGCTAGTAATGGATAGAGTACAGAACTAAGGCTCCTCACATTAGAGGGAAAAATAGATGGAATTTGGAGGAAAAGAAAATGCAGTCTCCCAGGAAGTATTCTGAGTGCTGCTGACTCAAAAGCTTTTGGTGCTGTAGCTATTAGTTCAATTTTATTGTCATGCACGTGGGTTTGTAGGACTTGTGTATAGGATGAAATTTAATTCCATTAGTTGAATCTTGGGTTCCCCTTATATTTTTTTTTAATGTTCTGGTTTGTAGGGTTTGCTATTTCTTCTTTGTGCACTATGCCCTCAAGATGTTTCCAAGGTTCGCGTTGGAAAACTTTCTCCGCACGGGGTTGAAACTCTTAGAAACATAAGGGATTTTCTAAATTTGAAGTTCATTATCAAACCAGAGCCGAACTCACAGTCAGTTTTTCTCAAGTGTATTGGTTATGGCATGAAGAACCTTTCTCGAAAGGTATCATGAAGTGTGGTCAACAGTGTTATAAATCCAACATACATATCTGACAGAAGTGTAATTTTGAAACAAGTGCTACTCTGGCACCTGGAAAACGACCTTAACAACAGCTTCAATATGTAGTATTATGCCAATTATCATGATGTATCCTTGTCCCCCTTCTCCCAAATCAATTAATAGCTGAAGTTCAGTTTCATTTGTAACCCAATTTTGCTAATATATATTTGAGTGTATTTCACCTATGGATTCTATTCCTTTTTGCATTTCTCCTATCTTGAATACCAAGCATTTCTCTCTATTATACAAGAAGTCCCTGTATATAGCAACTCTGCAGCTGTCAGTGTCTATGATTCTCCTAAACCTAACGCTCTGACAAGCCGCATCATATTTTATTACTATGCATGTGCAAGTTTCATTTTCCAACAATACAACATAAAAATTTCTTAGGACTTAGTAAAAATATTTTGGAAGAAACTGATGGTTTGATGTATCCGATATTAGCAATTAGTAAAATTAAGGATATGAACTGGAAAGACCTTTTAGCACTAAACATAATATTCTGAGCACTGTTGGCCAGAAAAGGGGAGTGTTAGAAAGTCGGAAAGGATTCTTGTGAGAAAAAACTTGAGAAAGTCATGTGGATGATCTCCACTATTTATTAATCTAACATTTCATACTAAAAATAATTATATAATAAATCATGTGAAAGGGTTAGGATCTCATCTAGTGAAAATATCAGTTGAGTGAATGCATACCCGTTGGAAGGTAGTTAATAAGATTGAAGTTAGTATTTAATTGGATTTCAACTTGTATATAAATCACATTAACGGATTACTCTTACATATACAATCAAGTTTATTTTGTTAATGAATTTCAATTTCCTTTATCACATCAGGCTCCACCATGTTTCTCTATATATTTGCTCAAAGCTTTTTGGTTCCATTTAAATAATTTATAACTGATTTTAAATGAAATTAATATTGAAATGTGGATTTTGATTAAAATGATTTTTATGTTTGAATATTTTTATCATGAAAGTTTGCTATATATCTTAGTGTAAATTCTTTAACGTGATGCAAAAACTACTTTTTATCACTTCAATTTTACGTGATAATAACCATAAATTTATATTATTACAAATTCAAGTTTGATTTATTTTTTTTCATCTCAAAGATCAAGGTAATTTGTGCCACATAAAAAGCTTAGTAAAATGATATATTTTTAAATGTCACTTGGGATATTTGATCTAACCTTCAATAAATATGTCTATTGTAAAGGTTTCTCTCCATATCATACTCCAAATTCAAGAAAATAAAAAATGTTTATATTTGAAATAAGTCCTCTAATTGGTAGCTCTACGTGCTAGATATAACTCAACAATATTAAGGTATTGTTCACAGAATTATGGCTGCATATTTACAGTATCCAATTCCAAAAACCATTTTAGGGGGTAAAAATTATTAGTTCCACCATTTACATCCCTCAATATATAATTTTTCAATACATTTAGACATAGCAAAGCACGAATTGCAATTTGGAAGGGAATAAATAAAAGGACACGAAATTACTCCAATACATATGATAAAAGTAAAAAATAAAAGTATTTATTATGCTAAAAATTAAAAAACAATCATTGAATATTTATTCTTTTAAAAAATGTATAATATGTTATTTCATTGAATATGTTTTTAAAAAATAGAGTGGTTACTCATTGGGTTTCAAAAATGTCCTATAAAACCTTAATTAACCAAGAAACCGCATGCTGAAACACTACAATACCCATAACAAAAAATATTACACCAATCATCAATTATCATACCACGTGCTGCAGCTTCGGCTGCATCTACTACACACTCTACACCCTTACAATATATATATATATTATGTTTTGAATTTCATAAAAATCTTATCTAAATTTATGTTTATATATTAAACAATTTCTTTTACAAACTATTGAAAGTAAACTTTTAAATGAAGATAACAAATAATAATTGAGCACGTGATTGATAGGATTCTTTTATAGAGATCATGTTTGGGAATGTAATTAAAAAAAAAAAGATAGAATGAGAAAAATGAGAATCTCATTTTTTTTAATTTATATTATAAATATTAAACAATTTCTTTTACAAACTATTGAAAGTAAACTTTTAAATGAAGATAACAAATAATGATTGAGCACGTGATTGATAGGATTCTTTTATAGAGATCATGTTTGGAATGTAATTAAAAAAAAAAAGATAGAATGAGAAAAATGAGAATCTCATTTTTTTTTAATTTATATTATAAAAATCATCAAATATTGTATTCTAAATGAAAATTTTTTTCCATAATAAAATAAACTTTAGGGTTTATGATTAAAATCTAGAAAGTTAGTTTTTAGCTAACTTTTGTTCCTCAACAGTTAATTAATTGGAATACTACACCAGATACCAATGCACTGGTTTTTTATTATGAAAAATTATTCTTTGAAAATACAAACAAATCTTAAAACTACTTTTTATCTAACATGTTTTAACATAAAACTTCTTTTCATCGAATAATCGATTACACTGAAAATTATCTAATTTTGACAATTAGTTTAAACACACACCTATTCATCAATATCAATAGTAAAATAACAATATAAAAGTATTAAATATAATTGTATTTTTCTCCTCCCTTATTTAACCAAGCAAGAAAAAAAAACTAACCACTTTCTTTTTCTTGAAAATTTCCTTTCTCAAATCTATATAATTCTTTCTTTATTTTCCCATTTTATTTTTGCATTCAAATATAATGAAAGTAATAGGCAATTACTTTGAAGTTTACATTTTTATCTTCCAAGTATGAATGGTTTTACCCATTTTATAGATAAATAATGTTGCGAGTATTTTATAGAATGAATGTACCAATGGAAAGTTAAAGGCTAACCAAGATGATCGATCACATGAAGTTCTAACTTAGAGATGAGATAAAGCTTCATAAAAATGTATAGTTCGAAGAACTTAAAGCCCATTTTCTCTTCTGCATGTTAAACCTAACCTAAAATAAGTTAATTCCATAAAAAAAAAATATAAAGTTGCCATTTTTAATGCATTAGTATCATCATATCACACATCTAACATTACCCATAATTTGCTATGTACATGTGTCGTTGTGCCTTGTTGTCTTTAAACTTTTCCAAAAATAGACTCCATGAACATGCATAACACTTCAATTAGATGGAGTTTCATGGTTGAACAGTTGAATCTAGAACAACTGCCACGTATGTATCTGCAAATTTGGCTGCAAGACTTTGTTATTACTGTTTGGGTGTGGAAGGAGGGATCCAGGAAGTGGAACGAGCAACCCTACACAAGAATACATCATTAAAGAAACCTTTGAAGTTGGGGTTTAGTAAATTATTGTACATGGATCATGAAATTTAATAACACGGTAACCACGTCCGAAACAGGCAAGCACCAAAACCCTACCAAAAAACTAAAAAAAATAAATGACACAGATTTCTATTCTCTGGTTTCCTTTTCACCGACCCCAAAAAACACAATAATCCACTACGTCAATCTCGAATTAATGTCAATTAGTTGCAACTTATCTCACCGGAAAACAGTTCCTCGTCGCCGGAAAGTTCTCTGTACCTGGACGGCGAAATATCAATCTCAATCAAATTCTCTTCTTCGAAGTGAAACAACATGCTTCTCTTCCTCTTGCATCCATCAAGAGCTATCTCAATCAACCCTTCTCTGTCTTCATCTTCTTCTTCTTCTTCTTTTTCGCCCCACCTGAACTCGGCGTCCTCCGGCGAGTCCCAATCTCCGATCACCGGAAAATCACTCTCCGATTCGCTATCCGAATCCGATTCCGGGTAAAAACGCGACAACGAAGGGTACCTTACGATTCCCACGTTTTCGTTTGCATCATTCCCTGCTTCTTCACCTTCACCATACTCCTCATATATCACCTCCAATGGCGCTTTTACGTTCCACTCGAAAAAACACGAGCTTGGCTCAAAACCCATGTCGGAAGCGGCCTCTGTTTCCGAACGGACCCATTGGTGCACTTCTTCTATCCTCTCTATTTCGTTGGGTTCGATGGGACTCGAACTCTGTTTCTCTCCCCTGCATTTGCTTTCCCTGTTCTCTTCGTAAATGATGGGTGGTTCCTCGTGCTTCCCTTTGTTTTCCCTGCGTTCGTGTTGTGATTTCTGAATTGCACCGAGGCGGAGAATGAAGAGAAGGAGAATCGCGGTGAGAATGAGAACCGGCGACAGCACTATCTTCAAGAAAAGGTGTGGCAAGTAGAGGAAAACTAAGGTGCAAAACGTCACGATGCAATGAAACAGGGGATCCGAAGAGAACACGGAGAGAAAGGAAACGGTTTCTTCGCATAGAAGGTTGAAGAAGTTATGAAAACACAAAGAAGAAACGAACTTCAACTCCAAGAGAAACGTAGTTTCATCCATTTTCTTTTTTCCTCTTCTAATTAACTATGGTTGGGAGGGAGGGGAATGAAAATAGGAAAATCAAGGGCATGATGGAATAGAAAACATGAAGATTTAGGCAGTGTTTGGATGATGAGAAAAAGGAGAAAAAATTGATGGGATTTAAAGGGCCACCACCATGCATGAGGGCTTAAGAAAGAGTGTTATTGTGGGGTTTATGGCGTGAGAAGAAGGCGTGGAATAATAAAGCTAATGGGGGTGTGGACCTAGAAGTACAGGGTACAGTGACCTAGAAGACCTTGTGTGCACCAAAAACTTAAAAAGTGGTTTTCCTTTTGCCTTAAATAAAATCGATGATCTTAATCAATCAATGAATTTGAGGACCTTCGGATTTAGGGTTTTATTTGTTCATTTATTCATGGAACCTGTTCACGTTTTAGTGTTTTAATTACCTTTTTAAGTGAGTTTGAAGGAGCGATGGATGTGGATCCAATGGAAGACGTTGATATAAGGTGGAAATGGCGTTAAGCTGTTGAGCACTTTTAGTTGTATTTTACTTTTCGGAATGTGAAACTTCACCAAGATCACATGAGATGCAGCCTGGACTCTTCTTTTAGGGTAAGTCGGTCACTAAGTGCCCACACATGTCACACTTACTTCCTCATTTTTGGCCCCATTTAAAAAAAAAATAAACAAAAAAGTTTAGATCCAAAGAAGCTAAAGCCTAATCACCTTTAGTTTTTCCTTTTTATCCATTCATTGTTTTTTTTTAATAAAAAAATATATTTTAGAAGCTAAAACCTAATATGTATGATTTTGTTTCTTTTAATTTTTTTCCTTGTGTTTCAATAGAAGTAATATTCTTTCGTTTTTATCTTCTTCTTTTAAAAAAAAAAAGTGATTTCATTAGTATATATGCGTGTTTGAGATTAGTCCAAACACGCAATTATAAATAATAGTGTCATTAACTACTTTGAAACGAAAATAAGTTAAAGCTTAAAAAGATATATATATATATATATATATATATATATATATATATATATATATTTAATTAATTAATTAATTCAGTGATAAGTTACTTCAATTCAATTAATATATAAACGAAATTATTGTCATATAAAAAACACATTAATTATATTATTGAGATTATTATAAAAAGATTATTATTGTTATGTTTTGGAGTGGGAATCACGTGATTCCAGAATCTTTGTTCATAGTCATAGTAGTTGTAAAAAGTAGACAGAAACACGAACAAACTTTATTCTTTATTTGTGAGGTGTGTATAATCACTGTCCGTAAGGATTTATCCGCGGTGTATTGCGCAAGTCCCTCAGGATACAACAAGAACTTCTCGGAATATCCGAGGATCTCAAAACTAGCAAGAAACTCTCAAAAGAGTAAATTAACCCAGGATCACAGAAAGAAGATCAGAGAAGAGAAGATGAGATATGTGTATTCTGAAAAGTGTGAAGTGGTATCTATTTATAAGAAAAAGTATGTAACAGTTATGGAAGACTTGGTAGTGGGTATGTAACGTTCTCTGAAACAGTCTTCTGCAACTTTCTTTGAAACAGTCTTCTGCAACTTTATTTGAAATAGTCTTCTACAACGTGTGTGAGAACACGTTCTCTGAAATGGTCTTCTGCAACGTTCTCTGAAACAGTCTTCTGCAACGTATGTGAGAACACGTTCTCTGAAACGGTCATATGTAACGTGTGAGAACACGTTCTTTATTTTGCAATACCCCTTAATTTACAACAATCCCCCGCATATTGCAAAACAAAAGGAGATAAAAGAAATAATAAAAAGTTTGGGTCTCATATAAGATGTAATGCATCAGAACTGGTATAACAAGCTATATGAACCAGTCTTAGACTAAAAACCTTAACACACAGTGTATTTAGTGAAGCAAGCTATATGAATCAAAACACTTAATGTGTGTTAGCGGTTTTAATAATCACAATATATCTTCACAATTCTTGTTGTTATAGCTGTGTTGCACTTACTAGGCCATACACGTGCCCGGTATTCAATTAATATATAAACGAAATTATTGTTATATAAAAAAAAACAGATCAATTATACAATTGAGATTATTATAAAAAGATTATTATTGTTATGTTTTGGAGTGGGAATCACGTGATTCCAGTATCTTTGCTCATAGTCATAGTTACATTTTTTTTTTCATAAAAGGACCGGAGGGTTGGGATTCAATGTAGTTTTTTCACTAGTTAAAGCTCTTATATAATTTTGGTTAGAACAGTTTCATTTAAGAATGAGAATAACATGTTTAATATCCTTGATGTATTTTATGTTTTGTGATTAGTTTTTAATGGATTAAAATAAAAATTTTATATAAATTATTATTTACTATTAAAAATATAGTCTTCAAGTGGAGGATTAAATATAAAGATATAGGGTGAATATATATAAGTTATCATTTATCTCAACTCTTAATTAATATAGGACTTATAAGTATATACAAGAATAATTTATCAATTGAGGATTAAAGGGTAGAAAAGGGTCAAAACTCTATTTTCAATCTTAGAATGGACATCAATATTGTGTATAGAAACGAAGTTTTCCTATCTCATTTCGTTATGATAATATCATTAAGATCAGTCACCATATGTTAAAATATTGTTCACTTTGAAATTTTAGTTCATCGATTTTGTCTTTTAAAGATATCTTCGTAGATTAAAAGAAGAATATATATATATATATATATATATATATATATATATATATATATATATATATATATTAACTTTGGTCTTGACTCCTAAGATATATAAGACTTATGAGTATATATTGGAACATAATTCCAATTGAGGACTAAAAGGTAGAAATAAATTGAAACTTTATATTCAACCTCATAGTAAACGTCAATGTTCTATTTATAAATGACATATAATATATCAACCTCATGTTCATCGTCTTTGTGATTGAAAGAGGATAATGTATATAATTTATATATGATCTCACTCTAAAATGATGTGAGACTATGAGTGGATGAAAATATAATATTTGAGAACAAAAAAGTAAAAGTGAATGAAAACTCTATTTTAAATCCCATATAAAACATTTTGTCTACGAATGATGTAATATCGTGATCACATATTCACCTTAAATAATACTGTTAAAATTAATTATCATATTCTAACTATTTTTCACATTTAAATTCTAATGTTGTATTTAAAAATATCTTATTAAATTAAAAGAGAAAAATATATAAAAATTATTTTTTATATTTAATTCTTAAAAAATATAAAGACGATGAACTTGAAAATTTTCAAGCATAATTATTTAAATATATTTATTATATATGATTCGATTAATATTAAGTAATTGGTGATATATATATATATATATATATATATATATATATATTAATTTGGTTAATGTTAGTTGTAAGTTAAAATTAAATAAACATGTTAACGAAATACCCATTCTTTCACATTTATTTAGTGTAATACTGGTTCTCAAAAAGGGTTGTGGGTAAATAAATACCTATTATTTCTGAGCATCGATAATATGGCATATTATATTATGATTTGATGTATTGTTAGAAATATAACCATGTTTAAAGTAAAGACATTTTTAATAAGAGAAACTTATTTAATTTTCTTAGTGTACATTATGTCTCAAAGTATCACATTATTAAAAAAAATCAATAAAAATGATTTCCAACTAAAATAATTAATTAAAAATAGAAGATACAGATATTATGAGCCTATCATTTTCTTTCCTTTGTCTAAAGAAACCGTGTCGTTTTCTATCATTTTCATCAACTAAAATAATGAAGCGTACTATGATTTGTAATATTATGTTTCACTCGTTTATATTTCTTTTTATTTTGTTGGTTACTTCAATTCTGACGAATCCAAATAACTCCACAGGAGAGAGGTTCTGAAGTATTCAATTAAACTCGCTCCATAACTTTACATAATTTTATTATAAAATTATCCAGTTTACTATCAAGTATCAATTATTTAGTTACGAATAGAATTTAATGATGTAAAAATCTTTTTATCTTAACATTTACCAAAATTATATTCTTTGAAATGTGAGATAATTACCAATTAATTCAATTTTCGAAGGTTAAGAAATAGGATCCATAATCTCTTTACTATTAGAAAGAGAAACCAGAAAACGCCGTTGTACTTAAAATAGCAATTGAAATGTGAGGTAAAAACAAAAGGATATAAAAAATCCTATTGAGTGATGGAGATATAACAGTGGTTTCTTAGTAACAATCAAAGTGTTTTCTTTACAAAAATGATGTCTCACTTTTTTGTCATAGACTTTTGCGTGATAAAACCTTTTATCATGTAGCAATGTTCATTATGGGCACAACTTCTGTCCCCTTTTTCATAGTGGGATCAAAATATCTTTATTCACTGTATTATTAATTAGATAATATATATATATAAAGGAAAAAGTTGGATTGGAAGTCCTTATATCTAAGAATACCCTTTCTGATTTGGTGACTTTCTTCATCCTTTCTATGGCCAGAGATTTATTATTATTGTAATTTTTTTTTGTACACGGTATTCTTCGTTTGATAAAAGTTTAAATTTAACTTATAAATTATAAACTAAAGTAGAACATGTATTAAATGAGAGCTTTGTAACGAAAAATTTTAAGATTTTTCTTCACCTCTTGCTATTTTTTTTATATAATTATCATTAAATTATTATTTTATTTTTTAAAATTATCAATAGCTAAGAATAATATTCTACTAAAATTTTGTTTATTATCAATCTAAAACTTATTAATTTATATCACATTATACAGGATGAACTACACCAAACATTTTCTTGAGCTTACTTTACATTGAATCGAAATTATCACAAAATATATATGTAATATAATTACACATTCCATCACATCCATAATTACCCCATTAAACACATACCAAAGATTTATTCATCATTATATAAAGAAATATCCAATATCAAAGTTATTAGCCCATGATATTCGTTCTTTTGCATACGACCTGGGTTGCAGGATAACGT